GCACCAAACCATTCACTGATCCAGGCTTCTCCTCCTGCAACCACACATGCTCTTTCTAGACAGACATCTATAAGAACCTCAAGAAATCTAGGAATTAGGCAGATAGGGCTTCCATGCTTCAAGTTTGTTCAATTGAGCTCCCTTCTGCTACTCTCACTACAGCAAATTATGAGCACATGTGCACAAATGTTTAACAAAATATTTCCTGGTTCAACATTACCTGAGAGCCATATCCCAAAGCAGCAAAGCTCTTTTGTGAAATGCAATTACAATAATGGATAAGGTTGATGTTCGGCAAATGTGTTCTTCAACATGTGCATCACTGTAGAAAGCTGATTAACTCGTAGTGACAAGAGGTTTTCTTGACATTGCTAGCTCTGCCATCTTTCTGTTTATAGTGCTAGTCAGATAACTTATTTCCTCAAAAAAATAAAATACTAAAAAAATCACTCATTGAAAGTAAAAAAAATAAACATCACCCAAAGGAAAACTTGCCAATCATGGCTTCATTTACAATAAATACTCATGTCAGCTGGACATGAATTCCCCATTAAAAACAGTAATTTGGTGAAGTGAACAGGATTCCAGGGCTGATAGGAATTGCAGGCATCCTGCTTGGTTACAGCTGTAAAAAAGCTCACTTTCAGTGCCTCTTATCTGGACAGTGCAGCTTTCAGAGGCATTTGTGCCTTCTGGACTCAGAGATATAAAGTTGCATAAATAACTCCAGCCTCAGTTCTCCAAGGCAGAATAAGGAGATTACTGTTTGTTTGTTTTTGTTTTTTTTTTAAAGAGGAGAACTGACTGACTGACTGACATTTAGGAGAAAATTGATTTTTTTTCCCCTGTCAGGGTTAAGAACCAGCCAGCAACCACGCCCCAGCACAGAAACTCATTCACTCCCCAGCCAGCAGGATCAGGCAGAGAACTGGAATGGTGAAAGAGAGAAAACTTGTGAGTTCAGATAAAGAAAGTTTAATAGGAAAAGCAAAAGACATGCACACAAGCAAAGTAAAGCAAGGATTTAATTCACTGCTTCCCATGGCAGGCAGGTGTTGAGCCATCTCCATGAGAGCAGGGCCTCATCACATGTAACCATGACTTGGGAAGACAAACATCATTACTTCAAATTTCCCCCCAGTCTCCTTCTTCCTCTCACTTTATAAACTGACCATGATGTCACATGGTTTGGAGTATTTGTTTGGGTCACCTCCCCACAGCCTCTCACACATCCCCAGGATCCTCACCTGTGTGGCAGTATGAAAAAGCAAAGAAAGGCCTTGGCTCTGTGTAATCCCTGCTCAGCAATAAAAAATAAAAACAACCCTCTCTGTATTATCAACTCTGTGTTCAGAAAAAATCCAAAACATTTCCTGACAGCAGCCACTGTGAAGAGAATTAACTCTACACCAGCCAAAAAACAGCATACTCTTGAAATTTAAGAGAAAATAGAAGAACAAGAGAAACTCCATAACTATGCTAATTATGTTGATTCAAGCACTTTTTCAAATATGATTTTTACTTGTGCTATTCAGGTACCTGAATAATTCCCCTTCAGGGCAATTATTTTGCTTGATTGCCTACAGAAGGAGATCTGTTTCATGCTACAGAACAGCAGTGTATATTCTAAAAGCCTATTTTGAGATATAAAAAGTAGGAGTTGCACATCAGGCTAACATTCTCCTGCCCTGATGTCCCAAGAGAATCTGAGAGCACAGCAGTCTGTACAAGCTGACAGTAATCTCACTGGCAACAAAAGAGCAAGAGCAAAGCAAAGGAAGTGTCTGCATTTTCCTTCATCACGAAATAGGGTAGAGCCAAAAGCTTTATCCAAATTGTGGCTTCACAGTGAATTTCCATTGGTTAGCATCTTCTGGGCGTAAGTGTAGGAAACTTGAGACTTCCAGTCTCAAAATGCATTCATGCATCAGGCAGACTGTATCTACTCATTACCCTGTGCCACATTTCCCATTTGGCAACTGTATACATACATCTTTCTGTCCTTATCTGTGGTCTCTGCTCATAAAATGCATGGTGAAGGACATCTGAAATTAACAATGTGTGACTAGTGAGCTGCAGATAATCATGCTGTCTGGGGAAAATAAATTATAAGAAATAATACAGATTATTTCAGCCAAATGTGGTTCTTAATTATATTTATAATTTGACCATTTCATGCACATACAAAATACATCAAACTCATAATGATAAGAAGCAGACAATGGCCCCCATATATACAAAGAAGCATTTTAAATAATGTTGTGCTAAATGCACATTTGTGCATATCCTTCCAAAATACACTGTCACACTTTCTCTTCTTCCATGGATGTCAGAGCACTCTTTGAACAAGACCTTGTAGTTCTGAATTCTCACAGGCATTGAAATCATGAAAGGAGCAAGGTGTAAGCTAAAAATTTAAGTTTTTAAAGGCAAATAAAAAGGTAATGCAATCCTCCACATGTAAACACTAAAGGGATAGGTAGCTAAAAGTATACACTCTAATATTAAATCAAGAATCCTGATTTCCATATAAGAGGATTTCCACCTGAAATCTCAGCAAATGAGACACAGTTATATCTGTGCCATGAGGCTGAGATGGTATAATTTCCTTGCACGAATCTAGTGCTAAATGTTCAATGATACATTTAGCACTAGATACTTGCAAATTAATCAAAAAATAAAAAAATAACTCCCATTGATGTTTAAAATAATTTACCCATACTTCACCAGAAAATTATTTTAGTAGTGTTTTAGAAGTTTTCCACCAATGGTGTCAGTGAGGTTTATACAGAGCATTAAGTTCAGATCAGGGATGTTTGTTCTGTGTGTGTTCTCTGCCACAACCCTCTGTGTGTTCTCTGCCACAACCCTGGTGCTTTCCATACAGCTGTAAACAAACAGGAGATCCTACATGCAACTAAGTTCCATTTAGCTGTCCCAGAAACATGAGTTCATCCACTCTCCTGTCTCAGACCAAATCTAGCAAGTGCATGAATGAACTCTGCAAGGATCAGCAGAGTGTCCGGTCCCATTTCTTAGAGAGATATTGTAGCTAAACTAAGTGCAAACCCCCAGATACCCTGATACCCCTAACAGGCTGATGAAGATTTATCTGCTGCTATACCCACACCAGGTGAAACCCTGTTTTCCTCACACTGGCTGCTGACAGTGTGCCATGTGCTCCTTCCAAGCACGGGGTCAGTCTCTGCTCCCAGAGGAGCACAGCAAAGCTCACTGGCCCTGTCAGCAGCAGTGAGCTCCTCTCACAAACAGCCTGTTTGGAAAACACTGGGTTAGCACTGATTGCTGCCTTCGGTAACACAGCAAACCACAAACCTCTATTACCCAGGCTGCTGATTCCCACTCTTCCAGGCCTAGAAGTTGAAGCTTAACATGAAACTCTTTGTAGGTGATGAATCCTTTGTATATTTTCTTCATGGCATAAAAATTTGGATCAGCTTAGCTATTTCCCCTACTGGCATCATGTTCTTATTTTAGGAGTAAACTCATTTTTGACTTATTTGTGTTTACATTTAGCTTGTATTTATGCTTGTGTTTAATTTCCCTGTCTTATTTTAAATTTTTCATTTAAAAAAAAGTTCCCTATCCAATTCATGTTGTAATATTAAATTTCTCAGGTATTGAAATGCTAGGTTTTCTGCATTTTCTGGTTCTGGTTTCTTAAAGCAAGCTTTTCTTATATACCTACAAATATATATATTTTCTTATATAAGTACACATTTATATTTTTATTTTTTTTTAAATCAGTCTTGAAGGACCTAGAATGTAAATGACTTAGTTATTTTGATCTCCTTTCCTGGTATCACTCATAAGTGGCGCAAAGGAGCCCTTTCAAACAGAGACCACACATCAGAAAAAGGTTTATGTGGACCAGATCCTGAAACTATAGAAACACAGATGCATAATGCTGTTTTGTTTTGTTGTGTTTTGTTGGGTTTTTTTTTTCAATCTGTATTCTAACTTTTTATGACTGCATTTTATCCCAAAAGCACACTAACAACATAAAGCATCACTTATTTAAAATGCTGCCTTCCCAGTATAAATTACTTCAAACACTGCCTTCTAAATCTGTGGCTTTAGCACATGGAGACTTAAAAGTGTCTGCTAAAAGCAAGCCAGCTGGGGATCTTGGTAATACTTCTTTGCTTATACATCTTTCTTAAAAAAAGTAATTTAAATATCGTGTTTCGCTTTCTTTAGCCACAAGAGGGCGATCCCTTAATTCGTGTCCACTAAGGCAATGTACAGACACAAGATGGACTCGTTTTCTATCGAAACCATTATTTCAGCTTTTTATGTAGATAAATTGATTAATTTAATTCTGTCTGTGTTCTCAGCATGCATGTGGCTTACATGAAATTACTAGGCAATATTATTTAGCTGTGGGTGCACACTGCGCTTCAGAAATGGCTGATACCGAAAAAAAAAAGGTGGGAAGTAAATAGGATTTCCCTTCATTATCTTTAGAAGTAGCAGTACACTGTATTAACACAACTCATTCTCAGTGATGAACTCAGACCGGTCACAATCAAAAGGAATAAGATCTCAAGACGTGCTGCTTTCAGAAGTATGAGAAATTTGTGAAACAAAGAAAATATATCCCTTGTACTTTTCATCCACTTGTGAATGTTTAGCTATTTGAATTTGTTAAATATGCCATCATGTGCAACAATATACAGCGCAAGCACAATCCACACAGGAAACTGATTCAAGCACTCAAAACCTGAAGATTGTCACGTCCTCCCTAATGCAAAACTCTGATTGCATTTACTTACTTAGAACCAGATAGTTGGGAAGATTTTGTTTAAAATGCTTCTAAACAGTCATCATGAGTGTACAATATAACTTACCATAGCATTTTTGTTTTCAGTCCCAATATTTTACATATATAAACCTGTGAAATTTACTCAAACCAAGACTGATTTCTCCCTCTTAAGTCCAAATAAAATTTTGCTCAGAAACAGAGGATGGATTTTTTCCATCAAGAGTCAGCTATGTTCCTGGGCAGCCGGTAATGCTCTGGCCTGATCCTTGCCTTCTTCTCCTGAGGGCTGGCATATTTCCACTTGGATGGAGACATTTTCAGCTTTTTTCTCTTCTTATCTGTACACCACACTTTTTCACAATATTCTTCCACCCTCTGGAAGTTGCTGTAACCTATCAGTTGAAGAAATTCCTTATACCATGGCTTTGAAGCCTGAGGTATACTGCTCTGCATTGGGCATGGCATTTTGTGAGGGATCTCCTCCTCATAGTCTTTATTGAACATTTCGTCTACACGTTCCTCCTCAACTATTTCCAGGGTGATTTTCCTGACAGTGTGAACAATGCTGTGTTCCACTGTCTGACAAAAATAAGTCCCTGCATCCAGTCGATGCAGCTTCAGGAATAAAAGGCCAAGGTCCATTTTTATTATTCTATCATCGGTCTTCACCTGAAAAAAAACCCATAAAATGCAATTATAGAACACAGGCCTTTGGTATTACATTAAACCAATTCAATTATTTTTGAACTATATTTTAATGACTGTAATATTCAATTTTGAGAGGAAGATTAGAGATCGACAAATTTTTAATTCAGAGTGTTTTTGTAATATTAAATAAAAAATATTTACTTGAAGTAAAGAAGAGATTGAGTTGTAAATGGAGAACAATCTAAAGAACCTGGGAAGCATGGAAGAACATATAGTGAAGCAGACAGATCCATGTTTTAATTGCAAAGGGAAATAAGTTAGAAACATTCAAATAATCTACAGGATGGAAGAAAAAAAGGGCATTTGCCAGCTGACCTTTGATAAGGATCCCTATGAATTCTCCTACAGACTGGTATGTTTTTGAGGAGACGTTCATAAAAGTATTTTCATATCTAACTGCAGGACCATTGTGATCTTAAAGCCTCAGTTCTGAGTCTGCTGTTTGAGTTCCTCCTACACCTCCTGAGGGCTACAGTAATGTTCCTGATACATTCACAGATGTTGGCAAGCAGGGAGCACTGAGCTGTCTAATCAAGCAGCAGGACTGGCCAGGAAATGGTATCCCCAGCTTTTCATTTAACAGTAAGGTGATGAATTTAAGCAGAGGTATTGAGTGATGAAGGGATCAAAAGCATCCCTAAAGTGAATGAATTCAGGACCTGGCAGTACTGAGGGAGGAGGCACTGGATGAGAGCTGGCCATGTCCACTTGTAGAAAACCAACTGTATCCTGTGCTGTGTAACAAGAAGTGCGGCTAACAGGTCAAGGGAGGTGATTCTCTCCCTCCACTCTGCTCTGGTTAGCCCCCACCTGGAGGGCTGCATCCAGCTCTGGGGATCCTCAGAACAAGGCAGACATGGACCTGTTAGAGTGGGACTGGAGGAGGGTCACAAAAATGAAGAGAGGAATGGGGCACTTCGCCTACGAAGAAAGAGAGAGCTGGGGTTGCTCAGCCTAGAGGAGAGGAGGTTCTAGAGCTTATTTTGACCTTTCAGTACTTAAAAGGGGCTTATAAGAAAGATGGGGATATTTTTACCAGGCCCTATAGTGACATATCTACACTGCAGTGATAGCTACATTGATGTGTATCAGAGAGGTATTGAGGAATAAACATGATAGCACTTATGAAGCACTTTCATATGGTAAAATACACATAAAAGTGGCAGAAAATCCACCAATTCTCATTTGTAAAAAATTTTGTAATAAATGGGTGAGGCAGCAACAATGAATAGAAGTTAAGTTAGATTAACACTGGAAATAATACATACACATTTCTTCCCTGCAAAAACATACCAAGAAAAATTATGGATTTTCTTTTGTTTTGAGATCTTAGCTTCACTACATGTCTAACATCTGCATTCAAGATGTTGAATGCAGTGAAATTCTCAGGTCTATTAATTCAAGAGACCAGATGAACATAGTGATTTTCCCTGACACCTGTATACATTCCAGCAACTGGTGGCAGAAATTCAGTGAAGATGTAATGTTCCTAACAATGGGCTCTTTTATTGAAAAAAGTTAGTCTATAGGAATATTTACCTCTTCCTTCTTAGTTTCATGTGCTCGCTGGACAAACCAGATGACTTTTGCTTGTAAGGTCCGAGGGGTGCACTCCAGAAGAGTGCTGTTGTACTCTATTCCATAAACAAGTCGCTCCTCAGTCTTCTCCAGAACTTCACCTGAAAGGAAAATAAATGTTTAAAAAAAGTCTTCCTGCAAGTACTTGCTACACTCCATGTTCAGGGTATTTTTACATTTAGGAGTGAAGCTTAATTCAGATCCAACCAGACAGTGACTGGAAAGTAATGTCTAAGGAAGATCTGACCTGCTAAATTAATTTCCCCATTATCCCAGGCTTTCACAGCATCTGACCAAATTGTGCCGTGACTCACCCAAGATTACAGAGAAACAGATCTCAGCCTTTCACACTGCTAATTGCTTGTGCCTGTTTCTTATGAATAGTTAATTTCATTTTCACTCAGTGAAACAGGAGGATTCGAAACATGTTTAAATATGATTTTAAAAATTCAATTTTTTTAGGGATAATTACAGCACATAACTGTTTGCAGAATGACACTATAAATACTCTAACCAATGTTATACATATTCAAGGTATACATCTATTAACTGAATGTACAGTTTGGGCCCAATGGTGCTACTAAAAACAAAATGAATGAATTAAATCAATATTTACTTCTGGTTTTCAATCCAACAAAACATCTGAAGGACGATAAACTAGTTACACTGGACAAAATCAACTGCTTCATTAATGAAATAATTTTATTCCATAACAGTGAGAAAGATTCTTGAGCCCAAATAGCTTTATATCCTAAAACAATACACTGTTTTATATAATTGTGATTTCTCTGTTGTATTTCAAACTTGTGGAAGAATTAGCACTTAATATTGGAATATACTTTTCCAAAATGTACAATATCCTCCAATGGATTTCAATTCTTCAATTTTAATAAAGTTTTCTCTAATAAAAATACATATATGTAAATATTTAAAACAGTGTTTCTCTGGATATCATTCTAGAATAAACTTTTATGCTTTATTTTTTTCTTCTATAAATGTGTTGCATATTATTCTGCAAAATACAGAGCATTTCCATGCAATTGTTTTCTTTCTGTTTTTCTATTCCCAATACCCATGTTTGAAATCCTCACTTTCCAAGGTGTGGATAACAGTATTATATCTTATATTTTTTAAGAGAAAACTTAATCATAAATGTCACTGCTCATGCCTATTCTTAAATTCTAAGACTATTTCATACATATTTCAGCAACTCCATTGTTTCTTATCCCTGCCTCACTGCCTCATCTTTCTGCTTTTTCTTTTTTTTTTTTTGCTTTTTTTTTTTTTTCTTTCTCTGTTGGGAGCCATTGGGATGCATCCTCTCATCTCTAGTCTCAATGTCAGTGCTGCAGCACCTCATGAACATTTTGGGATGCACCTGACCTGCCATGAGACAGCCACCCTTAGACCTGGATGACAGGGGCTCAGCCCCATGGCTCTTACAACATGACAGGAACAAGCCAGAGAAAACCAGCAGGTGAGATCACGGTCTGGCTCGTGCTCTTGGCAAGCTCTGTGCTGGCTGTTCCAGCCCTTTACAAGCATCTGTAAGTGAATGCTTGTATGAGTGAATATATTACCAATGAACTGTTGGCCAAAGCACTGCTGCGCTGCATTCCCGTGCCGAACGTCTTGTCTGCGGAAACGTCTGGAGGGGAAAAAGTGGGAATATTTGAAAGAACATTTTTTGCTTACATGTGGTTAGGCTTATGCTAAACTAGCCTTCATTAAAAACTTAAGGAGTTAAACATTGATTGCTAACAATTTACCATTGTTGTGAGAAGTGCTCACCTATAAATCAGTATTTTCTCTCTACTCAGCCTACTGGGAATTATATGTCTGGAAAAAAGAAACATGCTTCTCTGGAGAAGAGGTACAATTATGTGGCCATTTTATATATAACTATACTAATGTTATAAATACAAAAAAAGATCCTTTGAGCTGACTAGGTAACATTCAGTCATAGGAACCTTTAGCCTGTCTTTGGGCTCTCTCTCCAAAAAGGAAGGAAATTTTTGGTTTTTGATTCAGCACAGTTTCCCATGTATGTGAATGGTACTTCTTTTATCCTTTACTCTCATGGTTTTTTCTTTTTTTTTCCTTCACTTGAGAATCTCAATGTGTGGAAGAAATACTTTATTTTATTTCACCTTTGTACCAGACAGTTACTGAGCTCATTTTTCTCAACCAGGAAATATACACATTCATGAATGCCCATACCTAGAAAGTGAACTGGTGGAAGAACAACTGGGGTCAGAACATGTAAGCCCTGTTTTTGACCTGGAAAAAAAACAAGCCCTTTTGAAACTAAAATCATTCTGACTTTTGAGGTTTGAGGTTTTTTATTTCATTTATAGAGAAAAAAAAAAGTTAAAACCATTATTATATGGTGCCTTCTCAGAAGAATTGTGCCTTCATATAGCATTTATTTTCTTTGAGTGTCTTGATAAATAAAATTAAGATTGTTTACTTGGGAAATAAAAGAATCTATTGGAATTCTGTATCTTGTTACATTACTATGTCTAACAACCTCAAACGTAGTTTTTTCTAAGGATACTGTTTCTACATTTGCATAAAGAGTAATTCTATACAGCATTGCCAATGCTATACATAACAGATTAACAGAAGAAATATGCAGTGCAGCAAATCTTACACAGTAGGTATGTGTACAATATAAATTATGTTAGAAACAAAGCCAAAGAATTCTGTTATTCTTTGGATTTTCTAGTGAAATAAGGTTATTCTCCAGTTCTATGTGCACCCAAAAGATAAAATTTTAATTTGTCACAAATTGAATTTACTGAAACTATTTAGATTTACACCATCTAAAAGTCTTGTCCATGGATGTTACTCATTTCATTTTCAATCTGGCTGTAGACAGTGATTATTTTCTGAGTTCTGTCACTCGTATGAACTCCTGATCCAGAGTTCTTGGTGGACCAAGATTAACCTCCATTGATATTCAGCGAAGAGCCAGTGTTTTTCCATTGTTGTTTCAGGGGAATCTGGAAATTCAGTGAAGACTGCATCGTGCTTTCAGGGAGAAATGTTATCAACACTTGCATCTTATTAAAGAAAAACAGAGGTAGCAACTGGGCCTTCTTCTGCCCTGGGTGTTGTCATTGCCATGTGTAGTGTCAGTGCTGACAAATGTCACCAGGTTTGAAAGTCTGTTGGGTGTGTAGATTACTCAGAAGAGACATTCTCCTGCACAAATATACATAAACACTATAGGATATGCATTAGCCTTTAAAAAAAAACAAACAAGAAAATCCTGCTGCTGTCAGGTCCAACAGCTCTATCTAGCAGGAATTGGTAGCAAACATGTTCTGCTTACTCATCAGTTCTTTAAGGTCACTGTAAAGCTAAAAAAATCCTAGTTCTGTAAGACAGGATTATTTCTCCAGTTGTCAGAACCATTAAAGAAAGAAATGTTTGTTTGATGGAATTTACTATTGCAACTGTGAAGGCTGGGGAAGATACAGCACCTTCACTTACTATTTTCAGTGCCTTCACTTACTATTTTCTGAAATAGAAGGAAAAAGTGGAGAGAGGTGCTGAAAGGGAGATGCTGGGAGATAAACTCGTTTCACAAATACTGACATTAGCGTGGTATTATATTTTTTTCTTAGAAATTATTTTACTCAGAATAATAGAGTATCAGACAATCCCTGAGATAAATTACTGTAAGGAACAATTTTCAGTGATTAAAAAATGTACTGAATTTCAGGAAGTATCTTTTGCAATCTGTAATTTCATTGATTTAGATTTCAGCCCTTAACTCTGTGCTTTCAAGAACCTAGTAAAAATGATCTGCAAGAAAGCAATACAGTCATCATCATCATCGTCATCATCATTACCATCACCATAATTTTAATTTTTCTTTATTATTTCCCAGGAATGTATGAGGCAAAATCAAAAGTGTTGTGAAGAAAAGGCACTACTCAAGTTTGCATAAGTAAATCAGGAGACTGCGTTCCTGCTGGTGGAGTGGTGATGGAGAAAGAAGACGGAGAGGAAGAGGAGGCAGAAGAGAGACTGTCAGCTTCTAAAAATTAGTTATAGAATCACACAATGCATACTCAAGTTCAAAGACATTTTTAAAATACTTCAGACCTTTTTCAGCCTGGATGGTGAGCTGGTACAGCAAAGAATCTCACTTGTGAATTTGGTGCTTGTTTAGATAAAAATTGAAACTGCCTAAATACAGATTGCAGAGCTAATAGTGAACTAAAGCATTTAAGTCCTGGACCTCGGCTTTCTCAAGTGTGCTTCACAAAATTTGAATGCAATAGAAATTCCTTCTGCCATCTGAGGTATTTGCAGTATTCAGGAGCCATACACCTGTAATTACCATGGAATTGTTCTTTGCTGTGCTGTGCTGCCAACATCAAGATATGGACTCAGTTTTTATTTTTCCTTAAATAAATCCCATATTTAATTAGTTATCCAGGATATACATGTACAAGGAGTTATAGACTTTCACAACTTAAAAAATCAATACCAGATGCCAAGCATAAGGGTTTTATATTTATGCTTCACTTCTCTCTAAATCTGTTACATGACTTAGTTCACAGATTTCTATTTAATGTTACTCTAAACACTTGCTGTACCTTGGAGGCATGAGGATCTAAAGCAGACAGTATTTGGATCAAAGTGGGGAGGACACATTGTACATCCCTGCCCAAATTCAATTCCTCACCAGTAGGACTGGAATTAAAAGGAGAGCTTTGAGCAGAGCCCTTACCCACTACCAGCACTGCTCTTACAGATAAAAAGTCTACATAAATGTACAGATTGAAGGACAAATTTGAGCAGAGACTGGTGGTACTAAGGTCAGCTCAAGTGTGTTATAATGTAAGGCACAACTCCATGACTCCAATAAAGGGACAGGTATCAGGGACAGGAGAAAAAAGGGGCTTTCCAATGCCCCTTGCACTCACATTACTTGTATTACCATGTACAGCTTCAGCAGAAATCTGGAGCCTTGAGACAAGGCCATACTAAGACATGAATGTTCTGGGATGTGGCATTAATTAAATTAAAAGCCATAGCAGGGTTATCAACTAATCAGTGCTACTTGGTATCAAAGAACTCCACACTGTCTGCCAGGACCTGCTTTGTCCTCCAGTACTCTTCACATGGCACCTAACAGGAAGCAGCCTAAAACAGCTTCCATACACATGTCCCTAGTACCTCTCCTCTCCCTGCCTCTCCATGTACCACACAGTTAGTGTAAGGCCTGAAATTTAAAATGCTCTGAGCTTCAGCTGTGACCTAAAGTGAACAAAGCAAATGCCATTCATGCCTCTCAACACTGTTAGTTTTGCCGGCTGTTCCCTAAACTCTGATACGGAAAACAAGTTTTGCAGACTTCAAGAACATTCAATTGAGTGCAAATCCCTTCTCCACTGCTACAGTGCTTATCTTAAGAGAAGGAGGGAGATAGCAGCAGTATTTTCTTCTTTTAGAGGCTGACCTGCTGAATGTTGGGGAAATAAGGCTCAGGAAAGTGCCTGGGTGCTGCCCATATCACTCCATCCTGGATAAATGTGTTTTCAGAGAACTTAAAGCCTGCTGGTCTGGAAATTGTCTTAGGTGAGAAACATGTACAACAAAGTCCAGGCCTCAGTGAGTTTCTCTCATCCTTTCTTAGGCAACAAGTAGCCTGCACAACATAAATGGTGATACTGCTAGCAACCTAAAATGCTGCTGGGAAATTTTTAACCCCCCTTCCCTCCCAAATGACTTTTACATCATCAGAGGAGTAACCCATATGCTTTATCATTACGATAATCCAATTTCTACTTATACTGTAGGACATTATTCTCCCTGGCCCACTGTATAGCTGCTCATCTTTCTTAATCTGGGCCCTGAAAATTTTAACCAGACTCATTTCACCCTGAGCAGTCAACCAGAGCCCAATTTCCTTCCCTATATTCACAAAAGACACAAGAAAACTGTGCAGTCCTGCTTGTAAAAGTCATATAGGTTTCCTGCTTGGGTTAACCTTAGTGCAGTAAATCCAAAATATTCTCAATTATGCTGAGTCACACACTGTGTTTCTCATTTGTACTTTTAAATATGCCTTACCTAAAAAGTGATATTGCCAAAGGTAATATGACTGGATTAATTATCTTTTAAAAAAAAGTATGGAAATGTCTGTTATGCCTGATCAATTATGCTGAGTCACACACTGTGTTTCTCATTTGTACTTTTAAATGTGCCTTACCCAAAAAGTGATATTGCCAAAGGTAACATGACTGGATTAATTATCTTTTAAAAAAAGTATGGAAATGCCTGTTATGCCTGGAAATAGTCAGCATGCATTTGAGTGCATCCTGGTTCATGGAAAGCTAAAATATACCAAATGAAAAATTACTAAATAAAAAGCCCCATATTCCTGATTTTTCTTAAGAAACAATAAAGATTTGGGATACAGTGACTTGGTTTGCACTTAACCATGACCAGAAGTTTTAAAAAGTCTCTCTGGAATTTCTTTAATTCATTCTTATAGTCCATGTAGGTCTAATATAAATAAGCATATATTTTTAAAACCAGTAATTGCTAAAAAGCCACAGAAATTATTTGAATTATGCAATACCAAAATTTTGCTGATTCAGGTAAGAAATTGCTCTAAGTGACAAAGATGACTAATTTTTGTGAAAAGGTCTGGATTAAAACATGCGTATTCTAGACTTGATCTGTGCAGCTGAATTGCAGAACCTGGGTTTGAGAGGGAAGGGAGGACAACAGGTCCCAAAGAAATCATTGAATGAAAGAGTGAAGGTCAAGAACCATTAATAAGTGAAGGGTGATACAGAGAGAGTCTCCATAAGAAAGAATCAAACCACCCAAATCAGGTCTGTGCTTTGAACTTGCCTCTAGAGTAATTTGCTTTTCAATCCACTGCAGAAAACCTAAACCAAACCTTAGCTTTTGCAGAAAATCTGTTCTGGTGGATTTTGGTTGGTGAAGGTATATGACTAATAACAAAGTATCTTTGATATTTTTTTTTTAGAAATTCTGTTGTATATGTATGGAGGGGCTTGACAGCTGGCCTGCAAGCAAAGCTGAGTTAATAGAAGAAATTACAATTGATGATTTTCAAGTATATGCATAGCAAGGAAGAAGACAAGGCCATCAGCATGGAAACAAATTAGAAAAGATACATGAACATTTTTGTAAGCTAGGCTACACGCATAAGTAGATGTGTATGCGTGCCTTATTAAATTTCTGTAAAACTTTTGCCAATTATATTGATGTTAATTATATTGCATCAATGAATATAATAAGTTATTGTGATGTAGTTAATGACTTAAGATCATGCTTTATTAAGAGTATATAAGCTAAAGAACACGCAAAATAAAAACATTTTCTTCTTGAACCCTAATCACGTGTGTGTATGTCACTTGCGACCTAACGGTGACATTTGGTGCTAGCTACCTATGCTAGGGTCACTCATATTGCAAAGCCACAAAAAAATGTTGAGGAAATTAGGGTTTACAGTGTGATGCAAATAATTAGGAAGTGACTTAGCTCTGGTCATAAAAATATTCCTGCTACTGTGATTTATGCCATCTTGTGAGTTTGGTTTCTTGCAATCCCCTAAGGTTATGCTGAGAAATAAGATGATGCTGTCTCATGGGCTATGTCTGACGGGGAGATACGAAGTACTCTATGTTGCAGTAGAAACTGCTGATGTAGATATTTGTAAAAAGAGTATCAGAAGAAGCAGGAGCTCTCACCTCTTTGCCTGCACTGCTGTGGGGTAGTAGCGGGAGCAGGAGATCCCATCCCAGGCGCAGTAGGGATCCCGAGCCAGGCAGCAGTCGGCGCAAGCTGTGCCGTACATGTCGCACTGGTGGAACTTCACTTGGGCTATGACTGCCTCAGATCCCACGTAGAGCTGTTGCTGCAAAATATACACCACAAAAAATGCATAATTTTCCTGAAATGTCCACTAAAACTTCTCTTCCCAATGCAGTTATTGAAATTGTTAAATTAACCGTTGCTTGTTGTGCCTCCAGCCTGTGACCTGAGGGAGGCAGAGTTACTCTGCAGGAAAATATCTGATTACAGATTAAACTCCTACTGTGGACAGAGAAAGAGAAAGAAGGCAAAATGAACAAGTTTATTTTGGAATTTTCTTGCTTCTGAAGTTTCAGCTTTGTGTTTGAATAGGCAAGGGTTTACATTTCTTTTTCTTCATCTAGATACTTTCTAATGCCTCCCTCTTTACACTTGTCTGTTACCTAACCTGCAAAAAAAACCAACCGCCAACTTGACAGGAAAGACTTTAAACAAAGAAGCTCAAATATGCAAGAGTTATAAGCAAGCTCAGTTTTCAAGTAAATTTAACTCTTGATGTGGCTACTTAGAATACAGTCTCATATTTACATTTATGCAAGAGTTATAAGCAAGCTCAGTTTTAAAATGGGAGTTTTCAAGTAAATTTAACTCTTGATGTTGCTACTTAGAATACGGTCTCATATTTACATGCACAGTTGTGCTATGATTTGTATAACACCTCAGTGCTCAGGAGATAGATGACACATAGATAGACATTTAATTATTTTCCTGTTGCTGTGCAGTCTTTCCTTACAAATTACCTGGTCACTATCTACTTCTTTAGTATTTGTTTGCAGGGTTTGGGTGGGGTTTTTTCAGTATTAGCATTCATTGTTTGAATCTTTTGAGCTCACATAGATATCCTTTTCAAATCAAATAACAGATAATCAATTTAATTCTTCAGATGATAGCACAATAATTTCAGAAGAGAATAGCTTGTATTGAAAGGATTTTGAGAAAAAGTCTTGTTGCTGACAAATGTAAATTTTCTGAACACAGAAAATATGCATTGTGCACTGCAGTAGAAACCGTTTATGCACAGATCACTTCCAAAATTTTACCAGTCAGAAAAAGGATTCCTAAGTTCTGCCCATCCTAGTGGCCAAATTTAGTCCATAATTTCTACTCTTTGATGTAACATTCAAAATCTGGTATTTTGAAGTTACTTAAAGCTGGAAAATATTGACACTTTATTTAGTCTAGCACAAAATATAATTTTTAATCTGAATAGTCTGTTCTTGTTCCTTATTATATTTCTTATATCTCTTTAGATCATAGAAATTTAACTTTCAGAGATGCCAGGGGAATAAACTAGGAGAGGCTGGTAACAACAATGCTCAAATACTTTTTCTGGTGAGATAAACCAGATGATAGTAGCAGGAACTCAATCTGCCAACTGGAATGAAGAGAAAACCTAGGACACTTGTTTGAGGGGAATTCTTTGTCTGCAAGTGCTGCAGTGTGATTGTCCCAGAAGACGTGAACAACACTTTCAATGAGACGTATGAGATGAGATTTTCTCTTTTATCTTTTAGCAGGGGTAAAGACTTTAAGTCTTGGTAAAGCACAGGAGGTAAAAGAAGCATCTGATATCTAGCCAACTGAACATCAAAGAACATTCTTTCCCAGTCTCTGCAGATAACAAGCTCAGCCCTGAAATGTGATATTTTACTGTACCATGACTTGGTGAAGACTGGTCAGTGTTATAAGGATATGGAGACATAGGTAGCAAAGAGATCTCCACAGGCTCAGTAACTCCAAGGTCAAAAAGAGCAGCAAAAATACTTGAGGTACAACTTTTTTTTCATGTATGCTCAACTATGTTGTATTCCTGCTGACTTGAAAGACAAAATTACTTGGTGCCAACTCTGACCCTAACACATATTCCAACATTTAATTGTCATCAGTGTCAGAAAACTGTATCCTATTTCAAGAATAAGTTTATCTACATTCAACAAGCAGATCTTGGTTTTTAATCTGATATTGTTTTGCCACCAATGTTTGAGAATCCTCACATACACAGTAGGAAGTCACTTCACACAGCAAAAAATATATATATATGACTCTCCTCTTCTCTTTCTGTCTTCTTTTTGGTATCTTGGAAAAGTAAAGCTACTTTTACTTCTCACAAGAAGTTTTTTTCTTCAACTCCTGGGTTGTTCTGGTGGCTTTTTTGAAGATCGGTCCAGATTTTCCAGATATGCCTTGAATTAGTAGAGTTAGCACACCTCTTGGGAGATGAATATAAGGGGGGAATTCTACTTCATATTTTATGATATCTCTGTTTTACTCTTCCAACAAAACCCTTTAACCATGACAATTCATTGAGAGTTAAAGGTAAGGCAAACATCTGAAAAGACACCAAGTCTTTCTCCAAATCATCAATTAGGTGCAGTGTTAGATTGTTCATTATCAGATAATCTAGTCTCCAGATTTCACAGTCCATGGAAAAAGATTGAGGAAGGAAATAATTCAAAATACTTTGACCCAAATCCATCTCTGAATTACCATCACAGGATTTTGACTTTCTGCATTACATACAGGAAGAATGCAAGTTGATTAGACACCAAGACTCAAATAACTCTTTGGGGCACAGTCACACCTCTTAATAATGCAGATTTCATTCTTTGTTACTTGTGTTTCACTGTGTTTATGTGCACCTACATCGCACCGGATGTCTAACATCACTGTGGACATGTTTAATGTTAAGTTATAACTATCCTTGGATGTTTATAATGGCTCCATGCTGAGATGATATGATGACATGATATAATATGGAAGAGAATCTGCCCACAACTATAATAAATTGGGTGTTTACGTCAGCAGAAATTTTCAGAAACTCAAGAAGAACTGAGATCCATACAGCCCTACAGGGCAATTGAATATGTGGGAGAGGCAGCACGGCTCTTTTTGCTGATATCCCCATGGGGCTGAAGTCTGTCTGCATTTATCAACAAAGAACTTTTTTGTGAATTGCCATATTCACCAATCTAATTCCTACTGTGATTAGTACAATGGTAACTCATGAAACAGATTGTTTTTTATTTGCATTGATATGTATGGTATTGTGAACTAAGGATATTTACCATTGGAATTGAAAAACATAAATACATTATAAAGGAACAGAGCACATAACCATATAAGCATATAAGTTTATATTACAGAACACTTACATGTATCCAACCAGATCTCATTATAGACAATGTACATCTATCTGTCCATGCAGCTAGCTCTATGCAATTTACAGATTCATTATGTTTGAGTCACAGTCATCATATTTCAAACTTGCAAAATACTTACCCTTTTTGAAGAGATTTCCATAGAAATAATAGGAACTGGCATCTAAAAAATTAGGAAATATTTGTTTGCTTAGAAAAAATAATATATTTTTGCTATGAAAATAAATCAGGTAAAATAATATTGGTATTTACTTATGCCATTCAGCTTTGCTAAATACTTTGACTTTTTTTGAGAAAGATGTGAGGAAATTGTGACTTTCAGAAATATTGCTTTAAAACAGTTTATTTGGAAACAAGCAGCCAACACTTAATTCAGGATTATCAGAGCTACAGGAACACTACAATTTCCCTGTCAAACATGACATTAACTCTTGTCACCACTGAATGTCTTTTGTCCTGCTTGAGAGTGATAAGTGGAGTGCTCTTTACAACAAAACATTCATTGAAGATAAGATGAAAATAGCAGAAATTCCTTCTTTTACCATTGTCCTCTCTGCCTTCTGCTCAGATTTCTTGGAACAATACATAGCCCCTTATAGTTCTATTGAAAACTAGCTTTATCAAGAAGGGTAAATTCTGTAATTTTCCCTGCAGGCAACAAGTGAATAGTTACACTGCCTAAATTCAGGTACCAGATTTAAATGTCTAACTTTTTATATTAGATTCTCCCTATAGCTTGAAGCAGGCAAATGTAAATATAGCTTTATTTGGCTAACATGACGTGATGAGAATACTCACTAAGAGAATTTCATTATGTTAGCTTTGTCACATGCCAAGAACTGAGCTTTAGTCATAGGTTGTTCCTTAGGAGAATGGAGTTCTGCCTCACTAAGACCCATGTTTGCCCACTGTAGAGACAGATTAGCTGATTCACTTTTTCTGAGTGGACTTTTTCTATCTGGATCTCATTTAGGTCTCCAAGATTGTAGCAGGCACATTTTAATGTGTGCAGTTATACTTTTTTAATTATTTAATTGGATAGGAGGGAAAATTAAACAAAATGCAGTAAGTTTCTAATTAAAAGTTGCACTCCAATGTCCAAGGACATAAATAGAAAGGCACTATTCGTGATTTACTTCAGCATGCTTTGGTACTTGGGACATTAGAAAAACTTCATTTGAAAATGAAAGTTTTCTGTCATCAAATTTCTAGATAATGAGAAAATTTCTTGCACACATATATTATATATTTGACTATCCTCAGATTTTTTTGACATTTTAATTCTGACAAAAATTCAAGACTTTGTATACAACACAGTTCACCTTGAATACTTGCAGCTCTTCAAGAATCACTTCTTCCATTGATTCTGTCTCTTGATTGTAAATTGTTATGACTTTCAGCACAATACCATTATCTGGACACAAATTTAAAAGAAAACAAAACAAAAGTAAAGGTTATGATTGGTTAAAACATTTATATAACATTTATATACCCTAGGACACCTTCAAATACCTGAAATGACTTCAAATTGATAATGGATTGAAATTTATACATATGTAAAGGTAGTTGCATTGTGCTGTCATTACTGAGGATTCTTACTCTTAGAAAATGAGATATATGAAAATTTGTCCCTGGCAAATAAGAGTCAATTTAGACACTTGAAAGATACATAATTAATTGTCTTTTTCAAACATTGGGTCATAATAACGAATTGTGAATAGCAAAAGGATCACAGAGGGCAACCATATTTCAGAAAAAGAAATGGGAGTAGATGGAAGCCTAATGCATTGAGGCAAGCAAGTGTAAAGTAGCTTTAATTATAGGATCTGAGTGTTTACACTAGATAGCAAACTACTAATATCCTTAATTGCTGACAGCAGCTCCATTCCCCCAGGCAAAAGTACAAAATCCTTCAGGGGCTCATTGTGCACAATTCTTACCCTTCTCTAAAGGAACCACCGAGCTGCTGTTGAGCTGAAGGTGTAGTTGAAGGGAGATGAATCAAAATATAGGATGCACATTCAAAAAGACTAAGGCACATTGGACTTAGATTTATCAGCCTCTCAGTCTCTGCAACTCTTGCAGGAGAGTAAAATACGCAAATAACATCTGGTCTTCCGTGACTTTGGTTTTGTCTTGCTGGCTATTTATAGGAAAGTTTTGCTCTCCTTGATCTGAAAATCTGTCATCAACAATAGCAAATATCACTTTTTTTCTTCTGTTACTTTCAGTCATCTTTCATTTACAGGAGACATATTAAGCAGGGAAGCACTGGGGAAATTGTTCAGCAAAAGATCAAAGGGTGACACAAAAAGAGGAACCATTAAACTGGGGTCATACACCATTTTTCAAAGAGACTATGTAATCAAAGGCAACCATTTTGTAGTAGAACAGTGAAAAGAATCTGTATTCTGAACTGTGATTTTCATAAGGAAGTCCCTCTTCAAATCCTGTTGACAGACATGTGAAAGCTCTGATGTTCAGACTTCGCCTTTGATGAACCTTTCTAAACTGCACTGCTACCCTAAGGAAACTTGCTCAGCTGTAAGATGCTGTTTACTTATGTTACACAGCAGGTGTTGGACTGGGATTAAAAATATATATATGTGTCAACCCTTTCTATATAATATTGCCTAAATAAGCAATGAGTTTTCTGATGGGAGCTTTGTCAGAGTAGTGATTGCAGGTTTCATTTCAGAGTTTCTAAAAATCAAATTCTTTTGCTGGAATTTCATGTCACCTGAGATCAGACAGCCTGAGAACATTAGGCAGCTGTTGGGGGCCAATCCAGCACAGCTCTAAAGCACACACTTAATCCACTTTGGATTCAACTTTGCTGAACAAAAGACTTGTGTATAAGAATATTTGATGCAGTCACAATTAAAAATGCAAGGAGAAAATATAAAGGATGTAGGACTCACTGTAAATTCTGCTGTACAGAAATAAGTGACACATGATACAATGTTTTACAGACCATGGTTAAGTCCATTTCCAAGACTCTACCAAGACTATATGCTGTTTAAAACCATAGAAAACAGCAGTGATATAAATAGAGCTTTGCTATTCTATTAACATGATTTTTTTGAATGTTCTCAACACTGAAATGTACTTATCAGAGGAATTGCATTAGTAAAAAATAATTCACTGGAACTGCTTTCCTAGACAAAATGGTCAAAATTATTTGTGATACCGCTCCTGTTGTTAAATTGATTAAATGTGAATGTAAGAATCCCTGTTTATTTTCCAGACAGATTAGATGTGACTTAAGTCTTGTGTAGTTCCAGCCTTTCCTCTTGTTTTCTTAAGTTTTTCTATTTTTCAAACACCATTAAGGTATTTATTTTTTCTCTGCTTTCTTAGACTTAGTGCAGGTATAAGTTATATTTTGCCTTTATTGTGTTTGTTAGGAAGATGCTTAAAAATTCGTGTTAAAAAAGCTCCCTATGTTTTAGTGAAATGGCACAGAAGAAAGACAAGAAAACTTGGCAGGAAACTTCTAACAGCTTTGGGATTTTTAAAATCGGGCATTTCCTCCTTCTTTCCTTCCTTCAGCTATGTTGAAACACAAATCTGGAAGCTGGAAGGTTTTTTTAATGGTATCAGTTAGACTTCTGGTCTCCAGAACGCAGGAAAAGAAACTGTGGAATAAAGCCAATAACTTGAATGGATATTTTCGGAAATCACCTTTGTTTCTCTCGGGTCTCCAGGTCTCAGCTTGGAGATATGACAGTATTCTGAAGTTTAAAAAATAAGGCTGGTTGTTCTACAATTTTTTAAAATATTATTTTTTGAAGAGAAAAGAAATTAAAATGGAATCCTATACCTTTTTCTCTTGTTAGTTTTTAAATAGTTCCTTACCATTACTTTCCTATATGTTAGCATCACAGTGAAGCACATGTCTAGAATGACTAACATCCTCTGTAAGGTGAAGGCATGAAAAGAAAAGTTGATAAAAATAAATGCTGTATAGATTTGCTTCATCCTGGGAAAAAAACAAACAAACAAAAAAACAAAAAAACCCCAAACCCAACAACAACAAACCAAAACAAACAAAAACAGAGAAAGAAACAAACAAAAACTTGCTAAATTGTAAATGTAAAAATTCTTGCTGTCTTTATTTACCTGTGCCAATGAACAAAACATCATACTGCCCATCTTCAGCTTCCACTCTGTCCACTGCTATTTGTTTAAGATTGTACTTTCCATCTGTTTTAACCAGTATTGGTCTCTTATGAACAGGCCTGATGGGCTGATACATCAGTGGATGACTCCTGGCAAAATGGACAGCTTCATCAGGATAGTCTTTAGTGGTGGTGTACAGCCCACCGTTCACCTTGCTGGCACACTGCAAAAACACAGAACACAGATTATCCTGAAGGTTAGCCCAGGAAATTATCAGAAAAAGGTCTTGTTTTCAGGGATAAAGATAAGTCTACAGAAAACCGAGCACTGAAGAGGGAATTAGGACAGTGAACCCTGTACTCTATGCATGTGTGGATTACTAATCATGAGAAGAAAGGAAATGCTGAACGGTGCCTTGGCATTGTCATGTTTAGGAAGCCGGAGTTTGTCTCTCTTTGGCACACTAAGACAATAAAGGGTAACACCTTTAGATTTTGACAAAAGCCATAGCTTATTTCTTCCCCAAACTCATATTGAAGATGTAATCAAAATGGCCATGGACAGAGTGAGAAGAAAGGGCTTTTCTATCCCAGTAGAGAAACAGACATGTAAAGTCAGCAGAACATTAATGCTTGAAATCAATCTCTAGTCTTATTATTTTTTGATTGCAAAATGTATTACCATAAGAAACTAAACACACTTAAAAATTATGCCAACAGTAATTCTTGATTTCAGGCATTTTAACAGTATTATGTTTGATTCTGATTCCTGACTCTAGATGACAGCATTATATATCACAGTTTAGCTTCAAATATCAATGTTTGTACTGATCAATCTACCAGTTTGTAAAGCAAATAAACTTTATGTCAATGACTGATTAAAAGAGGCTTACTCCTTCAGTTAAATGTGCAATTAGAGATAATTTACTGCATTAAAGAGAGAAGTTAATTTTAGGATGCTTTGTGACTGAGATAGTGTTTCCCAACTCAACATATTTCCTACATTTCCAATTTGCTTCATGATGTCTAATTGAAACCATTTATGATCAAGCTGGAAATATCTCAGTAACCATTTACTTTCTCTAATATTCATAAGACAGTGTGGTTTTAAGAAGCATTTCAAGCAAAGCCACAGTAGCAGCCTTTCTCTATTTAAATTGGATTTTTCAATCAATAAAATGAAATACAGTACTCCTTAAGTTTACTGGAAACAGTAACTTTAAACTTGTGGTCAGCTGTAATCAACAATAACAAACTCCTGCACTTGTCAAGCAGGGCAATGTTTGTTTCCACTTTTTGGGTTTAGCTACAGGAATGTATTTGTTCACTGTTGATTTAAAAGTAATTGTCTAATCAACCTAGTGATGGAATGTTACTGGCTGTTTGCAATAAAGAGACAGAGCTGGAGCACAAAGACAGGCTGAGCCTGTGCTTCCCATGCACTGCACAGCCTATTAAGTGAATAGGCATTGCCAGGTTCCCTTTGGAAAGTTCTGGCCCTGGGGAGATTAAATAAAAATAATCATTCACAGGCTTTTCATTTTAATTAAATAAAATCAAGTAGTCTAGAAAGGAAACAGTAGATGCAGCTGTCTCTAAAGCCTACCAACCTCACTTGATATAGCTGATGTCTTTTTCAGAAGTAACACAGTCTAAATGAACAAAAAAAACCCAGGAGAGACTATGGCAGAGGATTGTGGAGTCTGTCAGAACCTGTGTGACTCTTAGGAGTGGCTTTCTGTTTATTTAACTTTAAGCCCTACTCTCATTCCACCTCACTTGATATAGCTGATGTCTTTTTCAGAAGCAACACAGCCTAAATGAACAAAAAATCCAGAAGAGACTATGGCAGAGGACTGCGGAGTCTGTCAGAATCTAGGAGTGACTTTCTGTTTATTTAGCTTTAAGCCCTACTCTCATTCACCATAGACTTCTTCTTTACTCATTCAATACCAAAGGTCAATGAGTGATGACTCTCAGAGACACCCATTAGTAGGTTATTTTTTGCCTCTTGTCACCATCACTCCTGTAATAGGAAAGGTAGTGGGATTTAGTTTACCAACATGCTGCACATTGTTTGGAGTGTGAAGCCTAACACTTGGCTACAGCCTGCTACACAATTTGTCTTCATGCTACTGGATAAACATTGAAAAGACCTCTAAACTGTGCCCTAAATGAGTAGCTAAAAATGAAGCAATTAATGCTCTGTTACCTGGCACAGCCACCTACTTCAGCCTCTGATGTGCTCTGCAATGTATAAAGAAATCCATTAGCACTCAGGAGACCTGCTTCCTCAGCTAATTTTTTCCCTGATATTGGGAAATGACTTGCACTCTTCTGTTCCTTTTTCTGTTCCTATGCCTTGCCTTTTTGGGGAGGTGACGCTCTAGTCTGACCCAAACACAGCCAAGGAAGAGAAGCATTGGAAGCAAGTGGAACTTAGGGCAGCCTTCCTATAAATCATTGTCAACCTTGCTGAAGTGCTGGCTCTGTGTTCTCTCCTTCTTGCCAAAAAGACACCATTTAATCTTCAGTGCTAGGAGATATCAATGTAATAACTGCAGTCATTAACATTGACTTCATGCCTGTGTTTAATGCTAGTCCAAATAACATATGTGAGGTGTTCTACTGCCCGGAAAAAAATGAATACCACTTAAAGAACTTGGATTGTATCATCTTTGCAAAATATACAGCTATTCTGCAATTCGCATACAGTACAGTCTCATTATTTGGTAAAACTGCAAAACCCATACATTTGCTATACAAAATATCAAATAGGATACCAATAATTCCTGTGAATTCAACCATTTTTCCTAAAATGTGAAAATTTATTTACCTGTTTTTCTATCCTGACTCAATACTAATGACTTCAATTGATGTCAAACAAACAAAAAAAATATTTTGCATTGATGTCAGCACTGCTACTGTGGTACCTCATTGGCTAAGATGGTCAAATCATATTCATAACATTTAAATCCTAGATAATCTCTTTTTTGGAGTATCTGCTTCTAAATTTTGACTTATGTCTGTAAACCCAAGGGAAGTAGGGAAAATATTAATTTTAAATTATTAATTTAAAATGAGAAAGGTCATGTATTTGAAATCATACAACAGGGAGAAAGGCATCACTGCAATGGAGCAGAGAAGCTAATAGACCTTTCCACCTCTCATTCATGAGATTCAGTAATAAATTATTTGTATGCAATGCTTACTTATGGAAATGATTGCTTTTAGTATAAAAGGGAATATTGATTCAGTTAGCAAAGGGAAAGCAACACTGAAGGGAATATCCAGCAACTGTTCATTACATCTTTAAGTTCAAGAGAGTGAGCCACAAGCCTGAGAGAAGATTAAGAGGCAAAGTGTGAAAACTGGGGGCTGATTAACAGCTGTTAGAAATGTCTTTGCTCAGAGTTAGAAATCTGCCCAATGCTGACATGACAAGGGGTAGACCTTCATGACTGTAAACAAAAACAGCTTTGCAGCACAAGACAATTGCCATGGGTGGGTAGGTAGTTGTAATCCCAAAAGGCACAGGGTAAAAAAGAAATCCTGGATGTTCTGCTTCCCTGAGTTAGGCTGGCATTGCCTCCCTCCTCCTGGAGGCTGTGCCTGCCCTGTGAGGTGGTGACAGGCCCTGCAATGCAAAGGGCACCTTTGACCTGCACCAATGGGTGCCCTCCTCACCCCTCCAGAGGGGATGTGAGCACCTGGCACAGAAACTGCCAAAACACTAAAGAGACACTGAAACAGAAAAAAGGCTTGAGGTGAAGATTACTTGTGATGTCCTTGAGAAGACAACATGGCAATTCCTTGTAGAAGTTAATTATTTGTCTCTTAAGTCATGAGTTTGTGATTTCCCCCAGAAATCTAAGTACCAGACAGGAACAGCTCCATACATGACAGCACTTCTATAGCTGCTTGCTGCAGTAATTCCCATTTAATTGCATTTTTAAAATACATCTTGTTTCTTTTCTTCAGTTTATAGCCATTGAAAAAAAAATGTTTATAAAGTTGTGTGAAAATTAACAAAAAGTATGAATGATTTTATGAGTTTGTTTTTTACAGTGTTTTTAAAGATGTTTATATTCTTTGTAAATGGTACAGAGCAAGAATGTAGATAAGCTCAGGAACCTGATTTAAGGGTAGAAAAATCTCACTCTGCGATGTCTGAAAGGAAATCAATGAACTATGAGAGTGTCGGATCATTGCTTCCAGAAAAAAACAGTCTTAAGCAAAGGACTTTGAATAATGGAGAATTTTCTCCTTATCTACAAATGCATTTATTCTGATTAGTTAGTTTTATTAAAATATGTCTAATTTCTTACCTGCTCACTGATCTAAATTACAGAAGTATTTAAATTTGATCCTTTTGGAAAATGAGGGGGAATAAAGAACAAGACCCTCCTGAAAACTATTGAAATATTGAAACTATTGAAATAGTGGATTCTCTTGGGAGGGGTTTTGTTGTTGTTGTTATTGGGGTTTTTTTTCCCTTCCTTTAACACTTGCTAAATATCCTGATTTCAACACACTAAAGAAAGAGAGGTTCCTTCACAGGTAATACATTTAATGTTTCTGAATGAAGCTGAATGCATCTGATCTGCCTCTTTCTATCCCTTTTGCCTGGGGTTCTAATTTTGGGACCTTAGGAACTTTACACAATATTGCTAAAATCATGTCCCAACAGGATTACGAAAAATCTTATATAGTTAATCCCACTATTTTCCTTTGGAAAATGTATGTTTCTAGTATTTGATTAAACCTATTGCTGAGCCATTCCACACTTTTCCAGATTGGCTGGAGTATGCAGATATTCAAAGAATATCCTGGACTGTGAAGTCAGGAAGATTTGTACATTAGCAGCAGTCTGCTTTTTCTTTCCAAAATCATTTACATTACAAAGCAGTGGAAAATAGACTGTACTTACTGAACCCGGTCTAGGATAAGGTACTTTTCTTTCATAGAGAGCCCAGTGGTATTCAGGTCCTTCTTTATGAGCATATGGTCCATTGAAAGCTGCTCGGACACTTGCCATGTGGTAAACACATATAGCATATCCTCTGAATATATTGCTACGAGGTAAAATTTAAAGACACTATTAAAGTAATATGCTACATTCTGTCCAGATAATATTATGTAATTAAAATTACATGTTTATGTAATTTTAAATTACATTATTATGTAATTAAAAACAAGTCACATTTCAACAGCAATCAGGGAGAAAACACTTATTCCTTCCTGTATGCTTTTCTTCTAAATACTGCATCCAATGTTCTTCAAAAGTCTTTAATTTATTTGTATTCATAACAGTTCCCCAAGGAAGCTCTCTGTTGTTATGCCAAAATTTGATGCTAGTGTACACAAACTTTAAATTACTTGTTTAGAAACAGAGAAAGCAAAACAGAGTGAACTCAGGTCTGTATGTCTTTGATTAGTGACTTAAACAGTTTAAGATTTTAATATTTTTCCTACTTTTTTTTTGCTTAGAAAGATGGGAACCAACCAATGCTGACTAAAATAAACAGTCCTAAAATTAGTCCTTTTTGTATTGAGTGGGAATGTTGGTTAGTATTATTGGTTAGATCAGATCATTTTATGTTGAACAATCCAGATAACAATTTCTATTTTATTTTTAAATTTTATTTTATTTTGTTCCAGAACAACAGTTTTTAGTTTTTTTCAGGTTTTTTTTGTTTGTTTGTTTTTTAAAGAAGCATGAGTGCTCTCTATGAAGAAATTTTTTCTGAAGACTGCAGAAGATGATCCAGAAAATTTCAATTTGGTGCACAACTTTCTCTACTGGCATCAAGAGTCATGAGGAAATGCCAGGTGTTTGCAATCCTAGAGGAGCAGATCTGCCTTCTGTTACTAAAAAAAATAAAATCAGGAGAAAGTGGCAAAAGCATGGGTGCTCTTTTCTACCAGTTACATCCTAAACAGTCAGATTTCCAAGCTGAGAGTACTGTGTGCTTGCACCTGAGCTGGGCTGCAGTGGAAAGGGAAAAGGAGGCCACCAGTAACATTGCAGCTGCTGCTTTAGGCTTCACTAAGAAGTTAGTAGGAATTTAAGCTGCTATGTACTTAACCTTGAATTACAGTGGGGGTCTTAAAAGAAGACAGGTGGCTCTGAGATGCTGTTCTTATAAGCGTGCAGATGTGCATATACTTTGATATAGGAAGATGTCAAGCTGAGAAACATTTAATTAATTTGTGATCCAGATATACTGAATCACAGAATGAGACTTCAAGCCCTTGAGTGTTATGGAGAAGTTTTTACATTAACAAGGAAACCCGCTGTGAATAGAACTCAGATTAAACTGTTTACTATATAGTTGCTAAGGGATATGTATCATCCAGCTTCTATCCCTTTAATAGACTGTTCGAACATTCCTCTGTGGCTGTTATTATTTCTTTTAGTCGTTTACCTTGTCGTGTTGAAGAGGCCAAATATCACTGGATTTTTGTTATCACGAGTTTGCAGCAAAAACACATCCTCTGTAAAATTTAAATGCAATGTTATTGTTAAAAACCTACTTTTCTCAGCCTGCCAAAAGAAAATTTATTTTCTTAAAAGCATTATCATATTTTACTTTACTTTATTTATTCCATTTAATTTTATGCAGATTTTAATCCAGCCTGCCAAAAGAAAATTTATTTTCTTAAAAGCATTATCATATTTTACTTATTTATTCAATTTAATTTTATGCAGATTTTAATAATTTAAAAACAATGCAGTACATAAAGGAGTAATTGGTGATAGTGAATTCCATATGTGTAGAACTTCATATACATTGGAAACAAGACTAACCACCATTCCCTGATAGTGAATACAAGTGCAATATTTGACAGTAAGAGGTTTTATCATGAAGGTATATGGTTTTTTCCATCGTTTCTAGTTGTTTGCTGGCTAGGATGTTTACCTAATTCATCAAAATGTGTATCAATTCCATTTCTCCCAGGCACAGAACAAACTAGTCTGGTTTTGAGGAAAGTTGTCCATTTATTGACGAGCATTCGCTGGCCTCCCATGTCATTCTGTGTAGAGAGAAAAAAATGCCAGTGGTAATATGAATGAGTAAGTCTAGAAGCACAAACATCTCTGATGAATTAGCTGCTCATTATATCTTCTAATGTCAAAAGCATCCATTTTCAAACCACATGTTTATTACTAGAATTATTTTTCTGGATTCAGTTTTCAAGTAGGATTTCACTGATCAAGTCCAGGTCTCATTAAGATCTGTGGTTTCAGAAGAATTTTTTAATTCTGCACCACATCCCTGGATAGTTTTAGCTATACAGCTGTTGCAAAACTTTTTTTTATTGCTCATTTTTGCAAACTAGATATACTGAGCACATTACTGAAGTTTAGCTTTGCTTTAAGAGATCAGTGTGGGGTTAGTTCAATGTACCTGGAAAATAAAGCCCTGAATATATCTATAGACCTGGTGCAGCTGAGGAAAGTCTGAGGCCATTATTTACATGATTTTCTAACAATTTCAACAACTTTAAATAACACCTGCCTTGCTATGGCTGTCTCACCTTTTTCTTGCTCTTGCAATTGCTGGGACTTTCAAGAAAAGGGAACATTTAGTACTACTTGATTTAGGATACATCTGCAATCTGTGGTCTTAAATTCAAGATCTGTGTAACTGGTTCAATAGGCTTGCAAAACTCCTCTTACAAACAGAGATCTGTTTTCCTTAGAAAAGTAGATATATGCAGAGTAGATGCCTCTGTGTTACAAAACCTGTTACAGCTCATATGAAGATGTAAAGCTGCAGGAAAAAAGCCGGTTCTTGAATCACCAGCCAGGTATTTTTTGTATTCACTAAATCAAATCTGAATTATGACATACAGCTGTGAAGTTAATGGCCAGATAAATTTTGGAGAAGTGGAAGAGAAAGATCAGTGGGATTTTGGTTTAATCCATAGCCAGAGATAAGACTTCCTGTTGGATATATTGCAGAGTAGGGGGAACTATTAAAATAATCTATCCAGGCATATATTCAGAACAGAAGCCAAAGAATTCCAGCTTGGATTTTGATGCAGGTTGGAATTCAGAAATCCAAGTGGCTTTGTGAACATTAATGTCTGAGGCTGTAATTTGGTACTTTGCATACATCAGATGGTTTTAAGTTATACAGGAGTACATAAGAAAGTTTAAGGGGTGTTATGCTGGTGAGCATACATGATAAATGCCACTTAATGAGGAAACAGAAAAGAATTAAATTGTATCTTGTTCTTTGCTCAATAGTTTTAGGAATCCTCTGAACTATCCCCTAAACTGTATTCTCTACAGTTAGGAGTTTCTTATCTGCACAATCAGAGAAAGGCTCTTACCGCACATACACGTCCCACTCTGGTATATATGGCATGAGTGCTTGTCTCAGCTTCCAAAGCTTTCTCAGTAAAGAAGAAATATACTTTGTTATCATCATGGTCTTCATTGTCAGGAATCATGTATGAGCCAACGAATTTTGGTTCTTTAAAAAAAAAAAAAAAAAAGAAGTTGATCCAAGTAATTAAAATACTGCCTTGTTTTTCCAAGCCTTAAAATCAGCCTAAAGCAACCCAAAAAATAAAACGAGATGTAAGGGGTCTGTCAGTCAGAGAGCTTTTTAAGGGCAATTGGGTGATAGTAAATAGTAAAATAGTTACAAGAAATAGTAAAAAAAAAAAAAAAAAAAAAAGAGGTCTTTTTGGTAGGTCTGTAGAACATGTGGAATAGATTAATGTTGATATATTTTTATATCTTCAACTGACAAATTAATATTCCTTTGTATTTTTGCTAAAGACAGTTTTCCAGTCCCATTCTCTGTGTTTTACACATTTTAATTTGAACTAGGCTAAAACCCCACACTGATATTTGCATAGTAATCTGTGATTCCATGCAAACCAGAAATGGTCTAGCCATCTGAAACAGCTCTGGTTTCAGCTCCTTGTCCCCCCACACCTTTCAGCAGGCGCTCATTGTCCGGCTCAGTGCGAAGATGGGCCGCGCGGTTCATGGAGCGAAACACGGCAGCGTCTCTTCCCCAGTAGTCACTGTAGAGACCAGCAAAAAGTTCACCACCTGCAGACCAGACATCATAATAAAAACCTAAAATGAAATGATTTGGTGATACTCTACATAATAATTTCATTGCACGTTATAGGAATCACATTATAAATACGGTATGTGCAAATGATTAGGCTGAGAGGTTTTCCAGGCATCCTACTGAAATGTTCCACTTCACCTGGAATAATTACAGTTTGGGAATCACTTGCTGGGTGAGGGGATTCTATGTTCAGTGGACACAAAAAAAGGGACTATTTTTCTCTGGTCCAGCAATAAGTTGTTTTCACAGCATTGAAATATTTACCAGTGCAAGGACAGAACCTGAGATTTCATCCATCCTCCACAACTGGTGATTAATAGTTCTTGAAAAAATTATGAAAAGAAAAATTTGGTCTCATTTTCAAAGGATTTAGATGGCACTCACAAATTAAACAACCATCAGAAAATTTAGAAATAACACACTGAATGACAGACACTGTTGAAAAATAAATATGTCTATAGGTACAATTTAATATGTTCAAAAATCAAGCCTATCTCTGACCCATCTTAAATTGTGATATTGGATATATTTTACCCTGGAAAAATGCCATCCATACTTCTACCTTTCAGTTTTGCATGGACACTATTCCCCTTAACTTACCAAGCTTTTACAATAATTTATTTCATATCCATGTGTACTTGGATTACAAATATTTTAGCACCCAAATTTAAGAAGCAGGCAGCTTCAGCAAGCAGTTGTCACTAGGTGGCATCCTTATGCTAGAAAATAACACAAAAGGCATTAAACTGCACAAGGAGAGGAAAATAAATTATTTCCAGTTGAAGGTTAATCTGAGTGGAGTGACACAGCTTCCTGCATCCTAATCAAAATAAACATGACTGATACACCCAAATAATGTTTGCTGGCACTTATAAAGGATTTTAGCAGAAAGCAAGAATTTTGTTTGCAAGTCTCCCACCAAGTGTGAATTTTGTTTCTTTTAAGAGAGACACATGAATTGAATGGTGGCATAATTGTGAATGATTATTCTGAAATGTTAATATTTTGGCAGCTGGGGCTGGCTCCAACACCTCTGCTGAGCTGGAGCTGAGCATAGTTTTGCCTTAGGCTTCATCATATCCAGAATGGTTATTGCCCTGTAAAATACATGGTTGAGATTTACTGTAAAATATTGGCGAGTGAAGCAAAAAGTATAAATTATAGCATCCGTAGAAATGAAGGTTGCCCAAAACTAATAGAGAACTTTATTTTTTAAACAGCACAGAGCTGCCTAAACTATAGAATTTTCCAGTGTCTTTATAGCTTTACTTGTTTTAAACAATCCCTAATTAATGAGTTATATTAGTCATATATCCCCCTTTGGGAATTCCATTGGGAAATATGTCAGACTGGTTGGTGCTCATTTTAATTTAGGTGATATGTAGTGCAAAACAGGATATTTTGTCTTTTCAGAACTATAATAAACTTGGAAAATGCATCAATGTAAGGTAAATGATTCACGACATATTGCCAATGATCAGGATTGACATCTGTGAGTCCAGATGTGCCCACGTTTGAATATGAAGTCTATTCCTTCTGTTTGTCATAGGCACAAAATGTTATAAATAACTAAACTGCTGGTATGGCAATGTACTCTACACTGAAGAAGTTATGACTGATTGTATCTGTGAGATCCTGAGGGGAGAAAATGGAAGTCCGAGTCCTGGAGAGATATTGTTCCATGAAAGATATTTTACAGATACAGAAATAAAGTCTGATTTTTACACTGAGCTGTTACTAAACTACATGCAAGTATCATGTGTGAGCAGAGAGGTCGCTTCACCTAAGAACAGCAATGGGACAGTACTGACAAGGGTGGCTGTCAAATAGCACAAAAACATTCAACATTATGTTGAATAATAATTTCAATATATTTTACACTTCTGACACTAAGAGGATCTTCTCTTGTCTTTTTCAATAGTCTTTTGTATAAATGTAAGTTATAAATTTTGAACACTGATAGGTTTTTGCAGGTGCTGACCAATTCCAGATTTAGAGATAACCTAAGACTGAGGCTTGAAGAATTCTGGAAAGATTTCTACTTTTTTCTCCTCCCTTGAAAAACTACTAACACATATCAATTCAATCCTGGTTTGGTTGCAGGATTTCATACTGCTGCACATCACACTGGTGAACCTCCACCTTCCAGTGAAAATCAGCTGAGTAACTTCAGACACCTTCACTACTACTCCTCTCTTCCAGTCTAACCTCAGCTTCACATTAAATTGTTAAAATTTAAGTTTTGTTAATCATGTCAACAGCCTGGTTAATCATGTTCTAAAAATAATAAAAAGTTTCTTCTTTTCTTATTTAAGCAAACAGAAAACTACCATGGACCTCAAAGACCAGTTTTAGCTCAAGTGATACACACATACTTTTCAGCTAGTGTTTTTTCATCTTTTAGCTAACATCTATTCAAGCTAACAAATATAGCAAACTTCAATGGAGACCATTTTAAAATACCTTCATTTTGCCTTTTATTCAAAGCAAAATAATAACAAATTAAAATACAACCATTTTCTTCTAAACCCTTCAAAATTCCTAGGTGACATCCCTAAACCAAAAGAGATTGAAGCATTTAAATTAAATTACTCATACAAAAGATTTCTATAAATAGGCTGCTACCACCTTACATGTGGCATGTTTTTTGTACCTGCATGAAATTGGAAGGTACAAATGCAAACACAAGCTATTATTCATCAGTACTCTTTTTAGTGTAAAATGGAAAATTTATTTCATGAATAAAGCATTAGAATGTAATGAGTAGAACACAGACTGCACCTATCATGCATTTATTTTACTGTCAGTTATTACTCACATGATTACTAAAATCAGAAGACTAATTCACATTTTAGAAAAATTATACCTTTGGCAGAATAAAAACAGAAAACTAAAAAAAACCAAACTTGTTTAACTGGTAAACTAGTACCTCTGTATATTTGTATTTTCTGTCTTTCACTCAAGTATTTTGTCTTTTATTTTGAGAAAAAATGTGTTTTTGTCTAGACTAGGAGAAAAGACACAAATACCTAACTTTTAAAACTGTAAAAGCGACTGGATTCCCTGGATATTAACTTATTCAGATGTACTTTAGGTTTTTCACCACTTGCTTCTGATATATTGCAGGTAAGAATACATGGACATAAACTAATTTCTCATCTAGTGTGGTCTAAGTTAATCAGTGCACAAGATCTGGTATCAAAAATAGTTTTGGCTATTGAAAGCAGATGGGGGAATTCATTAGGAATAAAAGTCCAAAAGTTTTATATACCATTGAGCTAAACATAAACATTTTATTCAGTCTGTCTGCCATCCAACTTCCATTCTGTTTCCTGATGCTGGCAATAAATTAGTTGTTCATATATTGAGGAATTCACCACAAGCTACTTCACTAGTGGGTCAGATAACCTACAATAATGCTTACACCAGCACAGATATTTCATTTAAAAGCCAAGTCATGAACTGTTGTTTTCTTGGAGTGAGTATCTTAACTCTTGTGTTGAAATACCTAAAGAGATGGGGAAGAAGAGATTACATTTCTTCCTAAACTAATCCAGATAAATCTGGTCCTAAATGATTATGGTGCAAATGATCTTTCAAGATAATGATTTTAAAAGCTTTTAAATTTCTATAAGAGGTATGTAAAGATTTCTTGTTAGCCTAATCCTCACTGTTAGTCAATGGCCATGCTGGTGTAGGTGCTGTGTTCATGTGAGGGGCAGAGGTGGGAGCAGGTTTTGAACACTTTCCTTAGCAGGAAGAAGGTGCTGACGTGTGCTTTGCTAACAGGTTTGCATAAAACCTTTTCAAGGACATGCACATTGGCTGAACCTGCATCAGAGAGTGCAGACAGCTCTGGGGTGCAGCCTCCAAGATCATGCTGACTACATACCTGGAGCAGATTTCACTTTCTAAGAAAACTGAAGTGCATGAAGGGGAATTAAACCTCCAAGCATTGGAAGAAGGACTGGAAGACCAGTCCTGGAGGGTGTACGGTGTAGTTTGCATCTCCTGTCATGGGATAATGTCCATCATGAGCTGAATTCAGTGCTCATCTAAATGAAGAAGCATCCTTCCTTCTCAGTGCCTTTGGCATTAGAAGTCTTCTCATCCTCAAATGCCAATTAAAAGATTATTATTCACTGTGTTTGCATCTAGGTCTTCCAAACTTTTCAGCTGGCTACCTGCAGAGTCAAAGGACATACATCCTGGAGTTTAAGGTGCAGCATTTTATTCTGTGAACTGTGTGTCTCTGGGTAGTAGAAGTTGGTAGAACAAAATAGAATAAACGGAAATTCAAACTTAAGATAATCTTCCTTAGTGTTGAAAGTGTATAACTCCAATATTTAAAAATATGAAATAATAAATAAAATAGTAAAATCTTGGAAGAATTTTCTTATGCTGTTAAAATATCATTGAATGATAACTTGAAATTATAGAATTTCCTAATGGATAGCTAAAAAACCAGTCTCTAAATACTTTGTTAGTTTTGATGAAGTGGTGAAAGTTAGTTTGTCGATTGGTGTATCAGTGATCTGACAAAAATATTTTTTTCTCCTGTTAATCTTGCTACATTACAGAATTTTTAGCTTTGTCAGATATCTTTATCATTTGACCTCCAATACTCTAATCAGCCTTTACCAGGGAAGGGTAAAGGAATTGTTTTCTTCTTCAGATGAAAATATGAGGATCCATAGGACCTCCCATAATTCAGGCAAACTCTTAAAGCTCAGTGGGACAATCTGGCTTCCATTTAAGCAAATAAAATTCACATTGATCTCACAGTAGGAACATGATCAGGTTAATTTATTTACTTAGTTCTATCTGAGGAAAGGTTAAGAAGAACTTCAAGATTAGACCATGAGGTTTCAGGCCTACAGCAATTCTGTGAGTCTTTGTTCCCAGGGTAAGCTGAGATTGGAATCTGTCAAAAACTGTAGAAACAATTTAGGAATAAGGGTGGGATAAAAGCATGACAATCTGTGCTTCATGGATTTTGAAGGGTCACGTGAAATACAGTCTGTTTTTCTGATTCTTCTATGACTTCTTAACCCACTAACTCTTAAGAATTAGAGCTCTAATTTACTTTTTTAAATGAAATTAAAGGATATTTTGATGAATTGCTGCAGTGTGAAAGATTTGTGGTTACTACTGATGATTCTTCTTTAAATTAATTTGCTAATGTAAAGGAATAAATAAACCTAGCATGTAAAAACACAGCTGTCACTCATGACCGATATTTCATCACATCATGGATACCATTGTAGCTAATCATCAGAGAATTTAGTTGCCTGATTTTAAGATGCAGAGACAAATGTAAATATCAAAAGGGCCCTAAAATCCTCTTTTTTATCTCTGGAAAATAGAAAATTTATTTAATCTTTAGCTTCTTTTTCTAGCTCTTTATTTTAATCTATATTGCTTTTGAATGCTCAGTTTCTGTTATGTTTTCTAAACCCAGAAATCCTTGTTCTACTCCCTAGCTCCATCAAGCTTGTACCATTTACCTGCTGTTCCAGGCTATTTTTAGTCATTGTACAGTTAGTCAATAGTGCCAACACTGTCTTTGCTTCATCTCACAAAATGTTTTAAGAAAACATTTTTGAGGAAAGCCCATATGGTTTGCTATATCACAGCTCCAAAGATCCCAGTCCTATAGTGCTACACTTCCCAGCAAGGCCCAGAGGAGCACTATCTCAGCACAGCTTCCTGGCAAGGCAGGATTGAGACTGAATTCTATTTTTGTATCTTTTGAGTATGAGATCAACTCTTCTAAACAGAATCACCAGTTTGTGATAGTTTTGTTAGGAGGCAGCATTGAATTGAAAAAAAAAAAGCATTTCAAATATGGTAATTTATATAATCAATAGAGCTCGATATAAAAACAGTTAATTTCACATTTTTACAGGATGCTTGTGGCTCAGATACATCTCAGTCGATGAAAACAAAAGTGGTGTAACTAAGCCAGTCATGCTTCTTTGTTTTTAAAGAAAGCGGGAAATGATTATTTCCATAATTACACAACAATCAATTACCTTCAGAATGACACATGTCATTCAACATTTCACTTCAGTGAGACGCCCTTGCTGTGGTTAATGCTGCCTGGAATGCAATATTAATGTGGACAGCACCACGAGGATTAAGTCTGACATGTGGAAGATTGCAATGGAAGGCTGACAACACTTTGGTGTGCTGAAGAAAGAGACTCAGAATGACAGATTGACAGGACTGTGAAGCTTGTGACATAAAGATCATTACCAATTAAGATGGAGGTGAAGGAAGAACTGGGGTCAAAAGGGCACCTGCCTCGTCCTCTCTCAAATTTGTGCGATTCCAGTTGAAACAGATGATCCTTAAATAAAATTTAAAAAAAGACAGAGAAAACCATAAACCCTACAGGCAACAAAACACAGTCCTTAGTGACAAGCTTTAACTTTGTTATACCTTTGTAGAGGATTGACTTCATTAGGGAGAAAACACAATTATGGTTGCTCACTGATGTACTAATAAAAATTCTCTGGGTTTCTACAAATCACCTTTGTTATGCACTGCCCAAAAAGAATCAGAAAAATGCACTAAAATTACACTTTTTTCATTTCTGTGGGAGTAGGGAGGAAAGATTCCTCTCTTTTCTCCAAATTATCTAAACATGAAATAGATATCTCACTATGGAATGTGTTTTCCCCCTTTAAACAATTTTTTTTCCCAGCAGTTATTAAATATATAAGACTGTGTTATCTTCTCTTCATAGCTTGGAGATGTTTATATCTTCTTCATAGAAGTATGTTTAGGAATGAATCCCCAGTTATGCTTTTCAGAGCAGATGTGATTTCTTCAGTGGATTTAACAGAATATCAGTATAAAAAAATATTGGCAACTTGGTTTAAATTGTCTATATAAGGCTGTAAAGACTAAGAAAGAATTTGCAATTTAAATTTTCATTTGCAGTGGTACATTTGTCTCAGCTTTCACAGAAAAGCCCATTAATGTCTGATTAAAATATCAAGTGAGAGCACAATATTTTTAATTTAGATATTAACAGAAGAGCATGCCAAAAACATAGAGAAAGGGGAAAATAAAAGGGCAAACAGATAGAAAGCTATGAAAGTTTGATAAAAAATATGCCAAACAGCCATCAAGTGTGTGACAAGCAAATATTTTGATAACTTAGTAGTTCCAGTTCTTTGTAAAGTTTTACTCAAAAGGCCACTGAAATGCAGATTATATCAATATATTGGATAAATGTAACCTACCTGTTCATTAAACTAAGTCTCAGGTTCATGTTCCTAATATATGAGACAAATATTTTGTGAGGCATAAAGTTACATGAAACAGGAAACCAAATCCCCCAGAATTCTGAGAAATATCTGCCTCAGTCTCTCCCTCACAGAGCACATTATCAAAAATGTCCAAGGGACTTTTTAGTCATAAAAATCAAGTTTTATTAGACTGGACTTTTCACATATTTATTAGATTAAGTCAGTATTTGCAGAGAAAAAAAATCTTGATAATCTAAAACTTAAATATTCTCAAGCAAGAGCAATTGCCCCAGAAACCTAATGAATATTCTCTTCAGGTGACTTCACGACAGTTATGCTCTCCTGCAAAAAAAACCCCAGCCTAAAAAGATGAGGACCAAAGAAGCAAAAGTTGGAAAAATGAAAGATAAAAATAGCCATAATAGTAATAATAATAACAATAACAACAACAACAACAACAACAATAATAATAACAACAGTAAAAGATATAAGGAAAGCGAAAAGTTGTAGAGCTCTTAGTTCCCCCCGGTTGACAAATAATTGAATCTTTATGTGCATTTAATTTAAAACAGTCAATCTTAAATTTGTCATAAGCCCCTTGACTTCAAAGGATTATTCACAGCTTAATCCCCAGATCAGACATGCTGATGTACCTGTCTTCCATTCTCAACTGTCTAAATCATACATGTAATTTTGCTGCAACTTCTGGTCAAAAAGAAACATTCCCAGTAGTTAGAGAGCTTATACAAAAAACACAAACTCATACAATAAAATAGAAAAAATAAAATAAAATAAAATAAATAAAATAAAATAAATAAAAAGCCATATAAATTTTAGGTAATGGACCTAAAACTCATGAGGAAAAAAAGCATTTATAATCTCACCTCTCCAGAAGCTTCTTTGTTGGCCTAACCCTGGTACATTAGTGCCTTGTTGTTAAAGCTGATGTAGCAGAAAATAACTGTCTTGGGTAGAGACTGATGTTGCAGGAATATTGTTTTATGCTGTATCAGCAACAATTTCACACCAGTAGTAACTATTCCCCCTCTGCTGTTGGGTAAATGTCAAACAATAAAGAAATATTTCCCTGTGTGTGGAAATCTCAGTCCCATTCCCTACTTTTCAAACACCACATACCATGTAATTTTCAAGACTAAATACTGTAACATTTTGAGTCAACAATGGATAAAAAAAGAGTGAGGTGAACTCAGGAAGGAAAAGAAAAACTTTCTGAAATACTGAAAAAGTACTTGGGAGCCATAATGGCATGAAAATTGCTGTAAAGGAAATATTTCTAAAACCCGTCTGAAGTTATGTATTCTCTAGTTGGGTATTCAAAATAAAGTTACTCATTAAATAGTTTCTCCTCCAGGACCTCAACTAAACTATTTGTCAGTGAGTTGGTTCAATAAAGATTTAGAGTAAGTGGAGAGACAAACCAAGAGTTAAAAATTGATATATTATTCTGCTCTTCCTGGTGTATAGTTTGTGGCTCTCATTCAGTCCTACATAAGGAATAGAAACTGAAAGTTTTCCTGCTGTTGAAGGAGACATGATCCCACCAGATCACCATAAAACACACTTCATATTTTGGTCTTCCCCTGATAAAATGCAACTGGTCCTCGCAGCAGGGAGATGTGGCCGGTAGTAGAGTCTACTGGTTGATGTGGAAGAACTTTTCATCACTATACACAAAATAGTACCAGCACAATGAAAAAGATACTAATGTAGTTAATAATTTCCCTGAGAACCAGAATTAAATCAATGGTAAATACAAACCCATCTCTTTTAACATTCATAGCACGAATGTGCTTAGAATAGCTAATTGAGTATGACTGTGGAATGAAAATACTAAATAATATGCATAATATTTCATTGTCTATAATTTATAAATAAGGATTGTAGTGTAAATACATAATCTAGTGTTAACACTGGGGGTAGACAAAAAAGTTGGATTTCAATGCAATTTGGTAGAATTTTTAAGGGAAGGTCACTAGTTGTGATATAAAGCAGGATGTGTATCTCATAAATGCTTGCAGACACATGTAACTGTCTGAAAAGTTGCTGAAAATGTAAGCAATTACTCCTCCAAGAGAGATTTTCCACCTTCAGGACAGCATGCCAAATATTACATGGTTGCAATAAGTTATTCCTATCACGGGGGCAAGTAACTGAAGTTCAGGTGTAAGATATGTCAGCTTCCATGGGATCCCAGTTTAAATTAAATAAGTGTTGCACATTAATAATCAGCTTTGAAGGCTAATTCCATAATTCTAACCCTCCTTGCAGTTTTTGACATTAAAATCCCCTGAGAAACATCAGAGTAAAACTGACAGTTCCTCACAGATTATACAGCCCATCAATTCAACATCACAATTTATTTTATGGGCATTTTTCCGTGGTAAGGGTAAAAACTATGCAAAAGCACATATGGAGGGCTGGGAGTGGAATTACGTGTTTCTACATGTAGCTTGGGAAAAGAAATGGGCTTCTGGGTTTGATTTATGATACCAGTGACTCAGGAAACATAATATACTTTCAACTAATATTAAAATAATAATGTTCTTTCAAAGAAATAGAAGATATTTTCAAAGCATCCAACATTTTGCTACTAACTTGATATGAATTGATAATTTTAGACAATGAAGGCTAGAATAATGTAGGCTATACACATTAGTGAAAGAAAAGGTCAATCAGAGGCATTAAAATTTAAAGACTGAATTTAACTTTTGTTGCAGAAAATTGCTTTCACTAATGCCAAGTGCTGCTTTGCTCCAGGTCAAGACAACACTTATGCATGTGATTAATTTAAAACATATGCTTACTTCCATTCCTGTTCAGCAAAGTACCTAAGCCTATTCTGAACATTATTACAATAGATGTATCTTTTCACTAAACAGGGGACTTAAAGATACAGAGGTTTTAGTTGTGTTTTCCTAGGATGTTATTTTTATGAGAGAAAAATAATTTGATTTTGTGTGAGAATTTGTGGTGTTTCTGTTATTTCATTTTAAATTTTATTTTCCACACAATAAAATTTAAAACATATCATAATGGCATTTTTTAAAGAATGAAACCATTTCATAATCTTTAATTACACCCTAAACTGTGTATGCATTTGTTACAACAGTACTGACATGGTCTGATCTCAAGGAGGCCTGTGTATTTTAGTGGTTGATAAAGGTTTTTTTGGTTTTTTTTGGTTTTTTTTTTTCTGGTGTCTGGTATGTTTTGATTAATTTTTTTCTTTTTTTTTTTCCCCAACAAATCCACATTGTTTACCTTGCTGGATATTAAATAATATTTAGAGTGGGGAAAGGCTGTGAAAATTTTTTTAAGTATAATTTTAAACACTGGCTATACTATTCATTACTGCTCTAAAGCACTGGACAAAATTCTTTCTCAGCTTTAATTGTCTCATAGTTCTTCAATTTAGAGTAAGAATGATATTACATACAAGAGCTGCTTGTTGCTACCCATATCTAGGGGTCATGTAATTTATACTTTTTTGGAAGACAACTAGAAAAAGGAGGTTCATATCCAAAGTGAATTGACAGGGAAAGCATAAAAGTAGAGAAAATAGAGATTCTCTCCTTGTGCAAAGCTATGAGAAACATTCTTTTAAAATTGTCAATAAAGTCACATGGTTCTAGCGTCATATATGTTGCACTCTTTTTTATATTCAAGTAATTCTTAAATCATCAAAAATGGGAGTGTATATTGCACTTCAGTTTTTGTCAAGATCAAAAATTTTTTATGCATTCACTCAGTATTCAACCACCCACATAAGAAAAAAAATCTAGTTACACCAGTGAAATGCTTTACGAACCTCATCTTGATTTCCATTCTATTTCACACTATAATGGTTTGAGTATCAATTCACATATAAATTTACCTTTTTTGCAAATATTCTTTTGTTTTGTATAGTCTCAAAACATTATTTTTCACATCTTTTTCTTTTATACTTATCCTTACATTTTTATTTCAACATAGACAGACACACAGAATACACTGTGCAGAGACTTCTTTTAGGAAGGATGAACCTTGACTTCCCCATTACAAAAAAAGTTGAAAGATCACAGAACATGTCTGT